GAGTGTAAAAGTGCAGTGAAAACTTCGAGAGCAAAGTGCCTGGTTTGGTTTGTTGTGTCCTTGCGAGCAGACAGCTCATGATGCAGGGTTGCTTTCCAAGAGGGCTCCATTTTGTTCCTCTGCCAAATTTAAAAGGTCAACTAACAGCAAAGGAGGGACTGGACAACCAAAATGGTTCAGAACAGAAACTAGAACCTCATTGCTCTCCTCCCTGAGCTGCAGTGTCCCCACGCAGTTGCCAAGAAACTGCTACTGTTTGACAACCAAGTTGATGGCCAGTGTGAAATGACTGATGGCCAGTGTGGGAAAAAAGCCTGCCTCGCTCTGGTGGCAGATGCAGAACACACTTGGCTCCTTACTCTAGACATTAAGAAAATACTAATTCATATTAATTAGAAAAATGCTTCCTTTCTCTTCCAGGATGACGAGTGAGGGAGAAAGAGGAGAGCCAAAAGCCACCCTTGAAATGGGCAGGTTTTAGAAAAATTATCAATTCATACTGATACTTGACACAGGACATACTTTATTGAGCCCCATACTGCACAACCCCCTGCTGCTGCCTCTACTGTTCCTTGCAAGCCAGGGCTGCACAGTTTCTACTTTTTCATTAGCTGTGCATTGCTGCAACATCAGCAACCCCGCTGTCTGCCATTCCAGCAAAGGCAACACAGGTGAAGGAAAACAAGATCCCACGCTGTCATCTGGTGCTAGATTACACCCCAACATCTTCACATCCACCGTAACTTCTAGACCCTAGAGCTTTTGGTACTCTCCCAACACATACACTGGGGCTACGTTTCAGAAATGTCCCTCCCACATCTTATGTCAGTACTCTTCAGGGTATTGCTACACCAGTAACACCTTCCTTCTGCCCACAAACCAAGCATCTGTAGCTACTCTGCTCCAAATCAAGCTTTTCCCTGCTGACCCCCACTTCCAGGCTGCCTGCTCCATCTTACCATGCCTTAGTCTCAATCAAAAAGCTTTAGAAACTCATAGGCTTTACTGCAAAGGTAGTTCTTAACCCTCCCTTGTCCCTTTCTCCTCTCACAACTTTAATGGCATTAGTCTGCATTCAGACAGGAACAATTCCAGGGCAAAGACAGGGTGTTGCCAAGCTCAGGGCATGACACAGAGCATTCCTCCCAACTCTGAAACGTGCCTATTCATTTCATCTCAACCTGTTACCCTGGCAGTTTCAAGAGCAACATATACACATCACTCAAATCAACGGAGCTGTTTTCTGCTAGAAATTTTCAGTCTCAGGAAAGGACTGTCCAGATAATGTTGCTTTTTTAAAAAAAAAAAGAAAAAATCTTTTTGTTATTTGCACCCAAATTCCACCTAAGAGAGCAGCTTCATCTGTCTGAGGAGCCCTGGATATAGCTGTGTGGCTTTTCAACATCAGAGTAAATCTAGTTATATCTAGTGTTGCAAAGATCTCCCAGAAGTTCTTCCTACTCAAAGAGGACATTGAATCCAGGTTTCAGAGTACCTGGATAAAATGACCAGCAGACGAGAAACATCTAATCCAGCCTTATCATAAACCTGCTGACTTCAGAAAGCTCAGGAGTGACATGAAACTTAACCTCCTCGGAGGTAGCATGAGGGCTAGCACAGACTGTTAGTAACTTGTACCACCTCAGTTTTCATCCAATGAACTGCCAGAAGCAATTTTATTTTGATTAAATAAGAGCTAAATTTGGAGTGCAGTTTGCATCATTAGCAAGGCCTGATCATGCTGGACGTGCTGCCAGCTGTTGGAATCACTTATGAAATGCAAGTACATTGTTCTCCATTCAAAAACCAAATATTAATCTTCAGTGCCTGTGAGTTATGCAGGGCATGAAACAGTCAGTCAGCAGCCTGATCTCGAAAGAGACACCTTCCCAGGGCATTGCTTTGCACCTCTGGGGAGATGCTGGATTCAGAGCGGGGTGCTCTTCAGCCCACCACCTTCCAGGTCAGTGGCTAGGGCCACTGAGGGATGGCCTGCCAGAGCAAAGGACCAACAAGGACAGTTTCAGG